ATCAAAAATTTAGAAGAACTTGGTATATTTGTGAGCGATCTTGCTTTAAATGGAAATCCATATCTATTCGAGAAGAACTCAAACGAAATACATGTTCTTATAGAAGCAGATTTGACTGGAAAATTATACACATGGGAAATAAAGCATGTATATAGCCTTTGAATACCGATTTAAGCTGAACGATTTTTGGGTAATGGTAACAATGAGATCAAAAATGACAGTTCCATGTTAGTTCTCTCTCTTCATGTAAGCAATGCTTAGATATCGGATCTATGGAGCTATTATTGAGAAGAAAACAAAAACAGAATTACTTTAAGGAAGCCGTTGATAGCAATGAAGAAGGAAGATATCAAGTAAGAATTCCTTGACTAGAACGCCATCCTCCATTGTTAAAAGATTTATGAAGGAAAAGACCTTTAATCCTTTAATTCTGCGTATAAGCTAGAAGCCTGCCAGCAAGTATTTAATGAGTGGGAAAAGGAAAATATTATTGAACAAGTAAGATTCGAGTGAGAATGCGAAAGGCGTTGAGAATTTATGTATTCATTTGTTGCCTCATCTAGCTGTTATTAAAGAAAATTCCTCATCTAGCTATTATTAAAGAAAAAAGCTGTTATTAAAAAATATATTAAAGAAAAGACATGTTTTTGACGGATCAGGTAAAATTCATAATTTGGTGTCTCTCAACTACTATATCGCAAACGCCGCCAGACGGTATAGTGGCTTGGGGAAGTAAACCGCTGAGTTGGCTTCCGACCCAGGTATAGATAAATCCATGTAAAATTGGTTACCAACTCGGCGGGAGTCAACCACTAGCTACCAGGCCGCAGCCGTGGACAGCCCCGGCTGAGCAGATGACATTTATAAGATGCAAAAAGGAGATATACATATGCTTACAAGGTACTTGAAGAAGAGTACAACAATGTACAAAGAAATATATACATGTGCATGGGGAGCCTGACTGCCATACCGAAGGGAACGGGTTCGAACTCCGAGAAGGCATGGATGTAAAATTTGTCTGCCCCTTCACAAGAAGTAGCGTTGGCCACCTATTGGGTGCTTTCACAATAAAATGGCCACCACTTCTTGCCTGAGGATTGGCCATTGCCGTCATAAGCAAGTGCCCGCCATTGAAAAAATAAAGTATTGGAAAGGGATGTACGATTATAATTGATTGAACTCCTCGCTACAGTGCTGAATCATTTTAGATGGGGAAAGATAGGAGTTATAGCCAAAGGCCTTCTTATAAAAAAGCTTACATGAAAATGACAGGAATTTTCCGAGGTTCCTATGGTGGCAAGGTGGAATCCTACATCTTAAATTTATTATAGATATCACCGTGTAATTTTTGGTCTTTCCTGTAGCGGTTTCCTTCTAGTTGCTGTATTGACACACCATTTAGATCAAGCATCTGAGAAAGAAGAACTGGTAAGAAAAATAAAGGATACGTCGACAACTGCGGATTCTTTTGAGAAGCTTAATGTTTTCCGTTCCGAATCTTAGAAATTGTTAAGCTAAATCTGATCTACAGGGATGGGAACACACTCGTCCACCTACACACAGAGAAAATGATTGCTAAGGAAAAGACGTTCCAGTTTTAGAACTATCTTGGAATCCGCATGATGATATTTTATCGACTGACTGAAAGACATCCACTGATGAAGAAACGATTCCAATAACTAAAAGAAAGATTCTCTATTTGGTTCATAAAATTTTCGATCGCTGTGCTTTTACGTTAGTACCAAAGTTATTGTTACAAGAATGTTAGAAACATTGTAAAGCCATTAGGTTAATTGGAAGCATGAAAGATGAAAGCTTAACAACTGCCTTCGCCGGGAATCGAACCACGGACCTCTGGAATACCGGCCCAGCGTGCTACCGTTACCCACGAAGGCGCGCTAGGGAAGTGGGAAAAATACCTTATAACATTAAGTCTCGTGGGACTTGGAATTGCCATAAGAGATTGCAAGAAAGTACAGGAAATGGAAAACTATCAGAAATCAAGAAGATTAAAACTCCTCGAAGATTATCAGGTTTAGCATTTCGACACGAAAATGTATCATTACATGTAATTTGCGACGCTTGCGCTAATCTTCATTTGTAACATATATTTTCTTGAGGTTGGAAGCAAAAAATTGCAGTGACTTGTCACTTAGTGCAAGCAAGATCCAAAGTTGCTCCTTTTAGAAAAGTAAGTATATCTCGATCCTATTGCTTTCAATATAGGTGTTAACCCCTTCGCGCCGACTGTCACGTATACGTGCCAGCAACGAACACACTTATCTACCGGCCGACACGCAGGCGTGCCAGAGGATTGTTCCGTTCTCTACCGACTGTCACGTATTTGTGCCAATACTTTGGAACGTTTTTCAAACTATAATTTCTGCCACAAGATGGCACTGTATGTCCATATGGTTTCAGATACATGTACATTAGACCTTCTACTCGAAATGAGAGAAGCATGACTCACATACACGTGTTTTTGATTATATAAACAAACGGGGAAGTAAATGTTTCCGAATGGCGTGATTTATGACGTCTCTTTAAATCACACTTTATTCGCACGTGGTAGTTGTTTACTGTAAGTAGAGAAGTTTTATTTGCTCTAAAGCGTTGGGTATTTCGGTTTGCAGTTCAGTTTTTAGAAAATAATTAGATCTTGTTAGACTCGAATTCTTTGTTTTTACCGTTGCAATGCCGAAGCGTCGGAAATGTTTAACAGAGCATGAAATAGCAGAAATGATGCAAAATATTTCAGATATTTATTCTGATATTCTGATATTGATTCTGAAAGATTAACTGAAAGACATTTTCCAAAACTTTGTTCAGAAGAGACTGATAAGAAAATGAGACGACGATGCTTCGTTTGTTCACATTCCCGGAAAAATCCTCCAAAACGGTAAATGAGTTATTACGGTGTCCGCCGATAACATCGCGGCAAAAACATCGCGGACGAAAACGTCGCGGAGAAAACAAAGGCGGAAACGTCGTGCTACAAAACGTCGTGAGCGAAAACATCGCAATGAGAAAACATCGCAGTTCTAAAACATCGCGGTACAAAATATCGTCGTCGAAAATAAAGCGGTTCAAAAACTTCGCAGTTTAAAAACATCGTCGTCGAAAATATCGTGGTAAAAAATAAAGTATCTAGAAATCAACGCATGACGATAACATCGCAGACATATTTTTTTCAGGTTTTAATAATTGTAAACGGATATTTCCATAATGATTTGTGAGCGCAAGATGTAAAGAAGGATAATTTTTACTTTCACAATTTTTTATTAACTAATAAATTTTTGCTGAAAAAGTAAGAAGGAAACTTAAGCATAGAAAATTTAATGCAACTTATAGATTATACTTTTCATGAAAAACTACCAGTAAAAACTTTATAAAAAATGATTTATTAATGGCTTTTGTTAGTTAACTATGTCGGTTTAAAACTCTATTAAGTGCTATAAGTTGCATTAATTTTCTATGCTTAAGCATCCTTTTTATTTTCTCAGCAAAAATTTATTGATCAGTAAAAAATATGAAAGTAAAAATTATCCTTCTTTCCATCTTGCGCTCACAAATCATTACGGGAATATCCATTTACAATTATTAAAACCTGAAAAAAGTATGTCTGCGATGATTTGTAGATACTTTATTTTTTACCACAATATTTTCGACGACGATGTTTTTAAAATGCGAAGTTTCTGAACCGCTTTATTTTCGACAACGATGTTTTGTACTCCGATGTTTTAGAACTGCGATGTTTTCTCTTTGCAATGTTTTCGCCCACGATGTTTTGTAGTACGACGTTTTCGCCTTGCGTTGTTTTCTCCGCGACGTTTCCGTCTGCGATGTTTTTGCCGCGATGTTTTCGGCTGTAACCGTTATTACGAGTTCAAGGAATGTAACGTAGGACTGTGTGTGGATCCCTGTTTTCAAATTTTTCATACGAAAAGAGAATTTTAAGTAATATATTTAGTTTTCAGAGGTATAATGTTAAAATTCATAAAATGGTGAGTAATTACAATAAAATGTGTAAAATATGCATTTAAACAAGAAATAAGGTAATTAAAGTATATATATAAAAATATCTATAAAGCATAAGCCGTTTAAATACTCTATAGAGCATTATTAAACAATACGTTGATACTTCGGAAATTTCTTGGATTTAGGCTTAGTAGCAAAAAAGCCCCCGACCCTGGAGAGACGCTCGTGGAAGACACTGCCGGCCTCAGCGATAAGCGCGCGTTTTCGCTACCCGGCTCGAAGGGGTTAAATTTTACCCAGAACAGTTGGAAAGGATTTAAATTTAGGGTAATCTATAAAGGTTCTTCAGGTTTTTTAATGAATGCCCTCTACTGGATCAAGAAGAAGTAGGATCAAGAAGTACTTGCTTTTAAAATAGGGTGACAGAAATTAGAAGTTTGACATCTACCGATCAATAGAACTATGTATCTGGAGCAAAACATCCGGCCGATCTTCCATGTCGAGGATCTTTGGCGAAAATCATAGCTAAAGCAAAATGGCGGAAAGGTCCTATTTGGCTAAAATATTCAAGAGATGAATGTTAAATTTCGAAGTGATGCCAAATGAAGAAACAGTAAATTGAGAAAGGAAGAAGACTATAGTAACCTCTATAAATGAAGAGAAAACAGATTTTTTTTCTATCGAATAACTTCATACATGCATGGATTTATAGATTCTTCAAGAATACTTGACGACCTGTCCAGGAAAGCCAACATCCATTAACGGCGGGTAAAATTTAAAAAGCAGAAAAGATTATTTTCATTCGGAAGTCCTTTACAGTCCAAGAAGATTTTCACTGAGAAAAGACGGCAAACGTCTATGGTCTTATTAACGGTGAAGGCAACTGTTTTTATGCGAAAAGATGAAGAAAATTTCAGACTTTCTCTAGTATTACTTTCCGATCACCACGTTGTTAAAAGTTTAATTACGTTGAAACATCAAAAACTGGAACATGCCGGTGTATAGTATTTAATATCAGCGTTATGGAAAGATTATTGGATACTGAAGAGTGGGAAAGAGTCAAGAAAATTATAAAGACGTGTTCTGTTTGTAAAAGGTACAATGTGAAACCCGTGAATGTATCTGCAGGATTTTTACCAAAAGATCGTGTTCGAAAAGCTTTAGTTTTTGAAGTCATAGGAGTAGATCTTTGTGGTCCCATGGATTTAGAGTTTGAGAGTATTATTTACTTGTGTCGTTTATCAAGCTATATTGAACTAGTAACATTATCGTCTACGGATGGTTTCGTGCAAGCATTGAGAAGATTTATTGCACTAAAAGGTCGCCCTAGCGTTAGCTATTCCAACAATGTAACAGATTTAGTGGGTACGGATAACGAACTAAAATCAGTTGACTGGTCTAGATTGAATGAATTCTCATCTTTTAGAAGATTTAATTACCTGGAAATTCAATCCATCATTAGCACCCTGGTGGGGTGGCTTTTGGAAGCGTCTAATAGGCATGTTAAAAACATGCGTGTTTTAAAAAACACTTGTTTGGATTATGAAGATCTATACACAGTACTCTGAGATGCTGAAAATGTCTTGAATAATAGACCCTTGATTTACATGGCTGAAGATAGCAATGATCTTATATCCTTAACTCTTATGATGTTCTTGAAAGAAATAAAAGAAGAGGAAGTTGCATATTTAGATTTAATTTGATGCAAGCAAGGCTAATAAGCGTTATGCTTACAGACAGACAATTAGATAACGATTTAGAATTGAGTATTTGGGACAGTTGAGAGAATATAACAAGAACACAAAGGAATAAAATTTGGAAGAAAGTGATATCGTCCCTCTTGATGACAAGAACGTGATAAGAAACAATTGGTACCAAAGTGGTTAAAATATATCCTGGTAAAGACGGAAAGAGAGCAGTTGCTATTTTTAGAGGAAGATTACTATTTTTAGAATTTCCTAATGAGAGAACGAATGAATCAGTGAATGAGTGAGCAAGAAAATGAACGAATGAATCAATGAATGAGTGAGTAAGCTAATGAACAAATGAATCAATGAATGAGTGAGCAAGCTAATGAACGAATGAGTATATGAATGAATAAGCGAGCGAACGAACGAATAAATAAATGAGTGAACAAACGAGCAAATGAATGAATGGGTATGAGCGAAAGTATGAGCGAGTGAATAAATAAGTATACGAACGAACGAATGATTGAATGAATGAGAGAACGAGCGAACGAGTGAGCGAGCAACCGAACGAAGAATGGCGGAATGAGCGAACAAGCGAATGAATAAATATAAGTGAATAGACAAGAGCAAATGAATGAATGAGCGACCGAACAAGCGAGTGAACGAATGATTAAATGAATGAAAGAAAGAGTAAATGAAAGAAAGAAAAAAATTGAATGAAGGAACAAGCGAATGGATGAGCGAACAAACGAATGAATTTGCCTGCCTGCGTACGTACTTGCATGCACTTTATGTTTGTGTGAATGTACATATAGGCATGTATAAGTGTGTATGCATGCATATGTGTGTGTATCGTGTAAGAATCTGTATTTATTAATGCACAAGAAATAACGTTGCAATAAATAAAGCACAATAAATAAAGTTCATGCTGCTTTTTCTAGAAATATCATCATAAACGTTCAAATTCTGAATTCTAGCCTGAATATCTTGCGATTGTATCTTGACCCATTTCCTAACACCTGTTTCTGCGCATCGACCTTTTCGTTAAGAACATAAGTGCTTGAAGCACGTTCACTTTTGATGTGATGATTAGAGGCGTTTCTTTCTTTCCTTCTACACGAATTGCCAAAATATAGGTAAGTAACTAATAGAGGGAATGTAGATTGGCAAAGCAATCCCTTCGATCAACAGTCGTTTGAGATCTTTGACCCATAAACACTGCAGTTCTATCCATAACGATCATGCTGGAGAAATGGTACTTAGAGTACTTAGAAAAATCGATGCCATTAAAAAAAAACTTGAACGCAAATGCACCTCTATTAACTTCAGTATCTTCCAGCTTGAATAATGTTAACGATCTTCTGAAAGATAGTTCATATCCCTAAAGAAAACCATTCATCTAGTGCTGTCATACATTGAATTTTTTGGAGGTATATGTAATTGGGATACCATTGACAGAATAAATGCTTGAATATCAGGCCAAAGAACAACGAAACCATTTGCTTTTCTGTCAGCAATCCATTTACAGGCGATGTTTTTCCATTCAAGAAGTAATGACTCTCGACTTGATCTCCGTTTTCGGACCATTCGAAGATCCAATTTATTCTCTTTGCAAAAAGCTATAAGATCCTTCCACAGGGTTCATACACCATTCATTTTCGTACCCGACCGAATAGTTTTACTTTTTGAATTCATCTTCTTAAGGGGTTAAAATATTATTCCCTTTATATATATTATTAGATCAAGTGGTTAACGGAAGATTTAAGCGTAACAAAAGAAACCGTTAAAATAATTGTTTATATAAAAGCGATGAAAAATTGCAGGCGCAAATTCAGAAAAATTTTACTTTATCTAACACGAGTGCATTAAGTACACCCGTTGAAACACGCAAAGTATTGAATTAAGGATATTCTTAAGGATATTCTAATTAATCACAACTATCGTACATGTATGTGTTCGTTACCAAGCATACACGTGTATTGAGTATGCACTGCGACTGGTCAACGGTTCTAAGTCCGACGTCTGATGATCTTAATTAAGGATTACTGAGAGCATTCGGAAAAATATCGCCAGGCTATATTTTTCGATTAGGTCGTGTTTTCAGAAAAATATGGCATTTGAGGATGCTGATGAAAATTTAAAGCACCAATGCAGTTTTTCAGTTCCTCAGTACAACATTCAATACATAATTCAAATGTAACACCCTAGGTATCATAAAGCATATGCTATGCCAAAACCAACAAGCTCTATAAAGAACATAACCTCTTGCATTGTAAATAATCTGTAATAGTATGATAATGCTATGTCCTATGAACATAACTTCTTGCATTGTAAATAATCTGTAATAGTATAATGCTATGTTCTAGTGCTATGTCCTATGTTTACTGTAATCAGGTCCCCTGTGGAAGGGGCGGTGCCAAAACCAACAAGCTATAATGAACATAACTTCTTGCACTGTAAATAATCTGTAACAATATGTTAATGCTATGTCCTATGTGTCGAAGTATGTTGTAACAGTATGATGTGCTATGTCTTATTTGTTGTTAGCCCCTGTGGAAGGGGCGGTACGCTAGAGAGGTAGTGCATGGGGGCTATACCATTTTTGTCAATGGCGAGGGCCTGTACTTGTTCCTGTCCTGTCCTGTTCTGTTTCTCAGTTCCTATTGCAAGTTATGCTAGACAATTACACACATGCTCAGTTTGAAATTATAAGGTATTTCTCCCCCCTTCTTAGCGTGACTTCGTGGTGTAATGGCCAGCACAGTCTGCGCGTATTCGAGAGGTCCAAGGTTTGAATCCTGGAGAGAGCATTGCTCATTTTTAACGTCTCCTGCTTCGAAATAACCTACTGTTTCTACAGTGGCTCCCGAAGTAAAAAATGGCGGTGGATGATGATTCAGCACCACCAGGGTTTGGCAAGAGATCCGAGGTTCGATTCCTATCGAGGGTATTGTTCATTTTCCTTCCACGTCCCCTGCTTCGAAATAACCTAATATCTCTACAAACTCTGGAAAATGTGCTGATCAATCTGTTCGCATAGCGGTATGTGCAGCTTCTTTTGGAAGTATACTTTGCAGAGTCATCAGGTTTGACGAAGCAGAAAGTGTGGAAAATGCGCAGTACTCTCGGAACTCGAACTCTTGTCCAAGGTTTCTTAAACTGTGGGTCACGACCCCCAAGAGTGTCGCGGGTTTTGCAGCAGTGGGTCGCCAAAAATTTTAGCAGTTTTGATATTTGTTTAACTTATTATAATAATTTTACAGTTACCAAATATTTTTACAAAATGTATCTGAAAACAGATAAAGATAAGACAATACAGACAAAGAAAAACGAAAACGTTTCGACGCATTCTTCTTATAATATAAACGTTCATTTCCCTTGCTTTGCACGTGACGCTGTCATTTCGTCTGTTACTTATTTAAAATTTTCACATTGTTCTATGTCTTAAAACTAGAAATTAAAGTTAATGACCTAAAACTGCAGTAGTATATTACAGTACAAGGTAAAAAATTGACAGTTTCACTCACGCGTGTATCAAATTTGCGCACTACTTATGGTGTCCCACAAAATTTTTGTAAATATTATGGGGTCCTGAAGGGTCGCGAAAAATTCTCAGTGATAAAAGGGGGTCGCGACTGAAAAAGGTTTAAGAAACCGTACTCTAGACCTTCTGATTGCTAGCCGAACGTATTTTCTAACTGCGCCACGAAGATACGAGGTAAGAAGAGAAAAATACCTTGCAACTTAACTAAAATAAGTGGGCTAATCACTCGATTTTACAGCAGTTGAGAGTCTGGGACTAAAAGAGTGCTCTTTTACCATACTTGATGACAAATTCTTTATTAGTTTCAAACTCGTAAAATAAACTACAGGTATTAAATGGATAAGAAGCTGAAATTTGATATAAATAAATATTCAGGCTTTACAAATTCGCCTTTTCAATTTATTATATTCAAGTTAAAATAGTTTTCTCATACGTATACCATGTGCGTATATTTATATATATTTGTAGCAATAAACTGTGATGTGTATAATAACAATAAACATGATTTCCTTATATAACCTATTACAAAATAAATATTATATAAGTAAATATTTTGCTGCACTGCATTTATGCTTATTTTTCTCGAATTGTTCTAATTTGAATAACCGATCCCTCAAAGCAATATGAAAATGACATCAAAAATTGCAAATTTTGAGATTAAATTTTCCTGCCAATTTTTGTCGCGGGAGGGCGGCTGAAACTTTTTATAATTTTGTTTTTTCATAACGAGTATGAAACGTTCCTAAATATAAGTATAGCAACCGAGAAACCGCATTAAGATATAGATTCCGTTTTTTACACAAAATGAAATTTAAAAAAAAATTTTGATGTTGCCAAAACATGAAAATTTTGGTCGTTTAAAACACACTTAAACTAAGAGGGCGAGAGCTGGTTTGCTATAAAAAAATAGCCTGCCTGGAAAGACATTTTTTAACAGCAGCTATATTTTTTAAATTGTAAATTATTGTCTGCTGCTTGTCAATTTTGTTTCATGGAAAATGTCGCTTTTAAAGAGGCAATGGACAGAAGACTATGTTTGCGCTCTTTCCGAAGAAAATGATTTATATTTAGTTATTAAAAGATGTAGAGTCATTAGGATTTTTTGGAAGCCAGAGAGATGAAAAATTAACAACCGCCTTCGCCGGGAATCGAACCACGGACCTCTGGAATACCGGCCCAGCGTGCAGAACCACTACACCACGAAGGACGCTTGGAAAGTGGGAGAAATACCTTATAAAGATACTGCAAAAGCCCTGATTTTTCCTGTATCTAGAGGAACGAAAGATAGTATTATCAAAAAGAAAAGAAAAAACAAGTCAAAGTTTTGTTTCAAAGA